GTTTTTTTTTGCTAACTTGGATTGTCCATGAAGATTTAGAAGCAAGAAATGTGCAGTTGATTATTTTCCTCTTGGCAGGTAGCTAGTCTGCCAAAATGTGCATTTGACACCTATTGTCTGATAGCAGATGGTCATTATTAACAACTGTTGGGTAAATAACTTCAAACCCGTAGGGACTCCTTTCCCTTTTGAAATGTAACTATGTATTGGTTTAATTATTGTATTGTAAAGCCATCTAGGCCAAACAGCATGATGTAGTGTAACAATTTCAGAAATCCCATTATCCTGTAATGCATAACTATGGATTAAAATGTGTAATTTTCAGACAGACTCACTACTCTGAAACTATTATGCACTGGGAAACTTGAAGTCTGAAATGTGTGTGTGTGGTAAGGGAGGAGACTGGAAAGGAGCAGACTTTTCCAATTAACAGTGCTTTCTTTTTAATGAACATTGTTTCCACAGACTAGGGATTCAGTATATTATAATGAATGTGGTTTCAAGATCCTCAGTTCTATGCAATATCTTGTCTATCTACTAAAAAGTGTATAGTGTAGCATCCTTGGTTTTAACATATTCTAGAGAGGGAGGAAGGATGGATTTCTAGACCCTCACTATTCGAATCTACTGATACTTAGCAGCTCCAGGCTTTCAGGAGGTTGGATGTCTCGGATTCGGAATCTGTGTCCAGACCCCTACCTCCTAAACTGATGGTGGGCAGGCAGTACTCAGTGAAACCACAGACCAGCAGTTCAGAAGTGATCTGGTGGTATCTCTCGTTCTGAGTGGGCTGTTATTTAGAAACAACTGCTGCAGCTGACATGGTTGTCAGAAGATACCAATCATGGACTAAATGAGCTGAAGGATGGCTTATTCCATCTTCTGAAGGTTTCAAGTACAATTAGAATCACTGGTAGTGTAAAACTGGAAAGTTTGCATTACCACTGCCTGTTATACGGAGTATGTTGAATATTGCTAGGGCTCACACAGTAAAAGTATTAACATATGTGATTAGAGTATTACTGAATATTAAATGTTTCCTGTCAAACTGAGTGCAGTCAAAGCAACTTACACTTGAGCTCACTGTTTATGTCGAGAGGTGTTCCATTTCACAGAGTAGAAGAGAAAAACTTAAGGTTCTTGCCACAGTTACCTCTACAGCGGTGCCAGCTATTTAACATTAGGTCTTACTCATGTATGTTAATGCAGTAAATTACCCCTGCCAACTCAGATCTGTGGAAGACATCACTAATGTGCAAACACATCTTTTCATCCTTGAATGCTGTCTTAGCTGATTAATATTTCATGTGATATGCAAATATTTATAAAGCAGATAAGGAAGAATGAGGAGTTGAAAGACCTGGTTATAGCTGCCTCTAGAAACAATTTCCTGTAAGGATCTGGAAGTCCTAAGGTAGCTTCAAAACCCACATCCTAAGCCCATCCCTTTGTTGCCAGGCAGTTTTGGCAAAGAGCTGCAGTCTTGGCACATCAAACTGGAAAAACAAAAAGCACCACCTTTTTCCCAACTGAAGAAGTACCTGAGTTGGATTTGAAAGTCTGGTTGTGCTGACTGGCAAGCACACCCACTTTGTGACTGAAAACAAGCTGCTTGTAAATGTCACTGCAGGACAGAAGAAATGGCTCAGTTACCAGACACCCTTGTATGCTGAATTCCTTTCTCAACAACTCAATGAACTGTTTGCCATTCTGCACTTTGGGAGGAGTGCTCATTATTTTATTGAGAAAATGTGTTTTGTTTTTCTTTTGGGAAACCATAATTGAAGTCAAGGCAAGTCAAATCTTTTTCTCTGAAAAAGAAATCTTACTTTAGACATTCACCAACTGTAAAATAAATTGAATACGCTATATTCTGCACATCTTTCAGCTTCAACAGACTTCAGCTGAAGATGACAGGACTTAAATTATGCTAATATAAAAATATAATTTGGATACATTAGCGAAAAAGCTAATACATTAACAAAGTAGTCACTAGCTATTTGATTGCTGTGTTTTACAAAGCTCAACAGCTCCACAACTAGAAAGTCAGTCTCTTTTGACAGCTTGGTATTAAATCTGATAAAAGATGCTTAGGGGAGAATTCTTTTGCTTGAACCGCTGTGCATACTGAGACACAGCTTTTTTGTTCATATCTCAGACAATATATATAACATTCACAGAAGTAATCTTTATTCCAGGGATACTTTATAAACAAATTACACTTTAATCCAGAACAATAAATAATTTGCACTGACTTGAGAAGAATGAGTGGCAAGTATTATTGGGGGTTGCATCTTCTTGTTGTGTGACAAAGAGTAGAAGAATTTTGCATCAGTTTATTTCAGTGGCACATTAAATTAAGCTAAGTTTGCTGTAGCTGACTTTAGAAGATAAAATTGTGCTCTTTTTCAGGTTTGTCAGATTGAACTTGGTTTTCAACGGAATGAAATTCAACAGATTGTGTTTAAAACCCCCAAGATTTTAACTGCAAATAGAAACAAACTCAAACAGACATTTGACTACTTGCACAACATAATGGGCATTCCCCACCACATGCTTACTCGCTTTCCTCAGGTGAGCTGTTTATCTGGGAATAAATTGTAGGTGTTCTTTGCACAGCTGCTTCACTAGTTTGGTGCTCAAGGTGTAGCCTCACTGTATGAAGGACATGTGAATTCCACTTAAATAGGCTTTTACTCTAATTGGGATAACTTTCATTAGAAATTCAGCAATCACTGGGGATTCCAGTGTAGAAGTGCTGCCCTTCTTCCCCTGGCACATGTTACTCCATCACCTGCCACCACCCCCCTCAGTCTTGTGAATTTTTAAGTTTTCAGCAGAAAACTTTAGTCATGCTCATCCTTTCTGGATTCATTCAAGAGAATTTACTACCTGCTTAAGGATTCCTTGTCCTGAAATCTCACCTAGCTAAGAGACACAAGGGAAGACAGATCATGCATAACATACATATGTAACATTTATTTCAGATTTGTCTAGTTAAAAAAAATAAATTTTATGACTCTAGGTTCTGAAAATATAGTTTAAAGGTAAGAGAAGTGCAGTCTGTTAGGCAATCAGAATCTCACTGATATTCCTAGTGCTGTGTCACAAGCTAAAAAAAATAGCAGGAGTGAAAATAGATCAGTTTCTTGATGACTATTTTGTTTTTTTCTATCTCCTCTTTACTGTTATTTCCTCACAAGTTAAAAGTTGAAAGTATTAGTCATTTCACCCAATGCTGACATGCAGTCACACTGGCTTCTTGCTAGGTAAAAAAAGAAAGCACAAATTACATCTTCTGAACTGCAGTAATTTTCTTCCTAAAGCAAGCCTAGTAGGGAGTCTCACTGTCTGTCTAGCTGTGTTACAAGCCAAAATTATATGGGGAAATGAAACTACTCTCCAGGAGTTTTATTACTTGCTATTTAATGTATCTGCTTAACAGGGATCCCTGTTATAACTAGAGTGTCACTTTTGCCCTCCTTGACATGTAAATGACCCCACGTCTTGCTTACTTCTCAGCTGTCTTATTGTTGGCTTTGTGGTGGTCCACCTGATTTTTTTTTTCCTATTGTTTGGAAGAGCAAGGGGAGATTATCCTCTATTCCTTGTTCTTGGCTGTCGTGGTTCAAGCCCAGCCGGCAACTTGGAACCACGCAGTCGCTCGCTCACTCCCCCCCTTTTCCTTCCTCCCCCCGCTCCCGGAGGGATGGGGAGGAGAATCGAAGGAATGTAACTCCCACGAGTTGAGATAACAGCTCTCCAGTAACTAAGGTATAATACAAACCACTACTGCTACCAGTAATAATGATAAGAGGAATAACAAGGGAAAAGGACACAACCGCTCACCACCCGCCGACCGATACCCAGCCCGACCCGAGCAGCGATCTGGGCCTTCCGGATAACTCCCCCCAGTTTCTATACTGGGCATGACGTGCTGTGGTATGGAATACCCCTTTGGCCAGTTTGGGTCAGGTGTCCTGCCTCTGCTTCCTCCTGGCTTCCCCTCCTCTCTGGCAAAGCATGAGACTGAGAAAGTCCTTGGTCAGAGTAAACATTACTGAGCAACAACTAAAAACATCGGTGTTATCAGCGTTGTTCCCAGACTGAAAGTCAAAAACACAGCACTGCACCAGCTACTAAGAAGGAGAAAAAATGACTGCTGTAGCTGAACCCAGGACATTGGCACAGTCACACTTTCTCTTCCCCGTTTTTCCCTTCCATCCTCAAAAACTGAGTTTCACGATATGGCTAGTGCAACTCTGTATATGGTCTGGCCATCAACTTGTGCATTCACAAATTCACATACTCATCTCCATCTGTTATTGCTTCTATCCTGAGTAACAGTAATGCTGAAAATAGAGGCATACAGGATTTTTTTGTCACATCCTCTCTGATGTTTCAGCAGCTGTTGTAACCATCCTTCCTGTCAGCCAGCTCTATAAATGGTGGTGAAGGATATTTTTTCCTTTGTTTTCTGATTCCCTTTTAAAATTCAGTGAAGGCAGAGGACAGTTTTGCTTTCTGTCCTAGTTCAAATTAGTCTGCATCCTCATGCCTCCTTCCTTCATTAGTGTCTTTTTAATAAAAACTCTGCTTACTTTCATTGCTGTAGTGTTCATGTTTTCACCATTATCTTCTCTAAAGCAGTGTCTCTCTTCAGTTGTACTGCTCAGAAATGCAGTTAGAGCTCTGCTTTTAAGACTTCTTAACTGTGCCTTTCATCTTCCCTACTTCTCTCTCCTTTTAGATGTTCCACCGATTTATTTAATGTTTCTTTTACCATTGCTCTTGCCTTTGATTGTCTAGAATTCTTTTTGTGACAAGTATCTTCAAAGGTAGGCACTGCTGTGCCTTTTGACTGCATTATGACAGCTGACGCAGACACTCCTTTTCCGTTCCTTATAATAATGCTTACCTGAATCTGGCTGTATAAATAAACGCTTCTGATAGCATAGGGAGAATACTTATGTATTCCTACTCCTTGTTTCTGAACGTCTCCTCTCCATTTGCCTGGTTGTGATGACACGAAAATAATATAGCTAACCTATATAAACAAAAAACCTAACTGGATTGAGAGTTTTATCACTCCCTGATTTCCCTTGCAGTGTGTGTATGTCAGCATATTGTATTGAAGCATTTATTTAGAATTTAAATAATTTATATGTAAATGTAACCTACCTGGCGTTTGACATAAATGAGAAGAAAAGATGCACATTATTTCTGTTCCTAGATCTGCAGTTTGTTAAAAATAATGGTCTTATTTTAGATTCTGAAATTCCAGAGTCTGAAATTTAGACAACCTAAAAGATTCTTCCCTTTCTTTGTTTTTTAGGTTTTCAACTCAAGGCTATTACGCATCAAAGAGAGACATATGTTTCTTACATTCTTGGGAAGAGCCCAGTATGACCCAGCACAACCCAGCTACATCTCTCTGGACCAGCTAGTATCCTTGCCTGATGAGGTGTTTTGTACAGAGATTGCCAAAGCTTCTATACAGGACTTTGAAAAATTCTTAAAAACACTTTAATTAGTAGCACATGTAAAAAGGAATCAGGTTATGAAATAAACATGTTTTATAAAACTATTCCCTTCTTAATTACTGGTTTAAGGAGTTGTTGCTTCTGAAACATTTGTAGGATTTAAAGGCTGACAGTAATATTCTTCAGAATGTATTTCAGAAGGATTGAGTGAGTAAGTTCATCACTACTGATGCAATCCTTGTAATTAATGTCTAACTTCAGACTGAATGATGCAGCACACTAACAGAGGTCTGGGAGATGGAAAAGCTGGATAGTGACTTAGTGGCTTATTCCCTGTCTCGCCCTTTGTCTTTTTCCCTTCGCACCCCCTCTCAAAAGTTACAATAAAAAGCTAATGCAGTAGAGAAGTGTTTACTGGCTATTACCTTAAGAGCTATCAATGTTACTCTTTTCCTTGCACAGCAGAAAGAAGTACACTGATACATTATGTGAAGCCCCTCATATAAAAAAGCATTTTCAACAGGTTACAAAGGTGTTTCTTTGTGAAGCTGGCTGCTGAAGTTAATATCCTAAAAGCTGTGCAGTGAAACTTCATTTGAAATAGCAAAGAAAATCGGCAAACTGAATCTAGGCAAATTACAGAAAGAAAATAAAGCTATAAATGTCCCTGAAATCTAAAGCGAGCTTATTTTAAGTCACTTGTCTCTTCTTGTTTGCAGGGAGCAGTTTTTTCCCTAGTGAGATTTGTATGACTTTAGTAAACAAGTAACCATATGAAAATAAGCTGTAGTATAGCTTAATGCTAACAACTGAAGTAAATGCTAACATGAATAATTGCAGGAGCATTAAAAGTATTTAATCCCACCAGTAAACAAATCACATTAATATGGAGTTATCAGATGCTTCACAATTTGTTGTGGTAAAGTGAAGAAATGGAGTAAGCCCAAATGCAAAATACCTGATAGTTTCTTGTTTAGAAATTTACATTCTTTCAGTTAAAACAGTTCAGAAAACTGAAATCCAGATGTATTCATTTGGATTTAAACTTACTTAGTGAAAAAGCCTCAATGTTTTAAAAGCTCAGTGTTGGAGCTTAAAATACCAATTTGTATGCAGACAGCAGAATAAACTTCAAAAGGTTAAATTCCCCTAATAGGTGGGAAATAAAGACATTTAAGGAATGAGTACAGTAATGATATCTGGATTATGACTTGGGTCTTTTATCCAAAATAAAAGAATTGGAATTTGAATTACAATACCCAAGGACTGCTGTCAGAACAAGCAGAGTGCAGAATGGTTTACTGGGCCATCACTTAAGCACTCTAAAAAGCCACATTTATTGTCTGTAATAGTACCCGAGATGTCCTCTTTTGTCTTCTGTTCTTGTTTCCCACTCCATTGGCCTGATCACTTAAAATCCTCTACTAAGTAGATTGTTCGTGGTAAAAATGCATAACAAATTTCATTTAAAATGGTGGCTGAAATGTGATGGCTGAACACTTCGTATCTAATTCAATATGCTTATTTAGATTTTGACTGCATTAAAAGTATTAATTAAAAGTGGATCCAAAATGCCAAAGAATTTGCTTTTGCAGGTTTATTCTGCTGTCCTTATAATGATCTGTATTACCACATGGTAAACTCATATATACAAGATTGTATTATATAATGTGTATGTTTTGAACATCTCAAACTTTGGGCTTTTAATTCATTTAATATTTTCAAATGTAAAAATAATTGCTGCCAGAGCTAAAGCAGGTTTTTTGAAATGTTAAATGCATAAGCTTATGCCAAAATAGCTTCCCAGAAATACCATGAAGAAATGAAGCAAAACATCTTATGGGAGTGCTAAAAGGAAAGGGGAAAGAGCATAGAACTTTTTGAGGATCATGCCAAATACTTCTTGGCTTTAAGATGGGAAAAAAAAAAAAAAAGGAAAGGGTTTTAGAAGACATGTTTGCCCTAAAACTTATTGTACTCTGCTATTCTTGATAAGGGCTAGCAGCTTTTGATTGAGCACGTTGATTAATCGAGGCTTGCTGGGTACAAGATGGCAAAGGCTGCTTGCGCTCTGCTGACACGCAGTCTGAGCTGTGCTGTTTGCTTGTGTATCCCATTTAGCTGCGTGCTCTTCTGACTGAAATACCTACTGTAGCAATAGTTCTAGTGCAATTCCACATCCTGATTTCTTTAGAAGTACAGCAGTCTGCTTGTGAAGGAATTGCTGGGGAGAGGCAGCGATCACTGCCTCAGGAAACAGCCTCTTGCCTGGCAGCTGTGACACCTGAGCAGAGAGAGGTTTCTGCATCTCTGTGGTTGGCTTGGTTCTTTGCTTACTGTGATTTTTAGCTGCTATTCACCTTCATAGCTGGTCTAAAGAGTTCACAGCACTCACTTCTGCTGCCCTGATCGACAGCTTACGCCAAAGCCACTGCTTGTTCACATCAGCTCTCCAGGGAGTACAGCAGCTGCCACGCAGGTGAGAACCGGGGCACATCAAGCAAAACCAGCGCTCGGCACAGTGCCAAAACACGTTGATTTTTGCGCAGCTGCCCGTTTGCAGAGGCTCTGCGGTGCGCACACACTGGGAGGAGACCGCGCTCTATGTCACTTGCTCTGAACGAGCGTTGACTAATCTCTGCTTAATTACCGATCCCCCAACACTGTAACCGCTATGTAAAGCCATCGCAGGACTCACAGGCTTCACCGTGCCCGCCTGGGTCTCCTTTCCACCGCTCTTTGCGCCCGCGGGTGGTACCTCAGAGCAG